TTTCCAGAAACAAACATCACCTGGGTGAACTTATTAAACTTTGGGACTGTCCCTGGATATTTCAGAGAACTGAGAACCACAGACATGTGCTCTATCCAAAGTACATGGTTATAGACTGATTTGGACAGCTGATGCCTTTAGGGGGTTATGGATCATAGCAGAAGAATGTTTTTTTTTTTTTTAGAACTTGCACCTACATTGCTCAGCTTCTGTGATAACTGAATTTTAATTTCAGTAGAGATTGCCTCGGGCCTCTGAACTATGGCTGGTGAGATAATAGAGGAGCTGTTTTCCCACTTTCTACTAAAACGTAATAAAGCTATTCATGCAGTGGGCAGTGGTGGGGCCAACTCTTAGACCTCCATGGTTCACAGACACTTGGGAAAATGTATAAATCAGCCATTTTCATCAGTGTTGAAGCCACCTATTTTCTCTGAAATAAGAAGGCTTGGCTTCCACTTTTGGGCTAAAGAAAGCCAAAAAATGTTGGTGCTTGTAAACAGTTGACCACATGTCCAAGCTGGTGTTATTTCTGCTGCTTTTGTACTGATTGGCAACTTAAGGAGTTTCCTCATTTTTAGCTAAATGAAAAAAACCCTTAAAAAAGGTTTGTTAATATTATTATTATAATGTTTAATGTAGACTTGAACACCAGGTAGAAATAATCTCTGTTGTTTGCCTTACAGATATTTGCTCTATTTTTCTCTCCAGGCGTATTTATACAACTTACGTCCCTTATGGTGCATTTATCACATGGGCATTAACACATTGCCCATTACCGTGCATTAGGTTAAGGCAGGCTTTTATTCCTTTGAAGAGGCTGCTTACACAATGGACCTAAAATCACAAAACACTGCAACGTAGTGCATCATGAAGATGCATTAGGGTACCATCACAATTAATTGCACTGCAGTGCACAAACACACATTACACAAACATACTGCAGCACACTTACTCATCTGATGACTGACTCTAGGAGAAAATGGATGTTGAACGTCTGCTTCCTTAGCCACCCCTCACTTCCCAGTCTGTAAATGGACAGTATAGAAGCAGCAGCATATTGATGTAATCATTCTTGTGCCATGCCTTCTTGTACACACTCAGGGGCATATTTATAAAGTGGTGAAATTGGCATTTACCAAACATTCACTGCAGGTGGATCTTCTGCTGTATGTATTTTAAAGCAGTGATTGATTCACCATCAGTGCATGTTTCTGCTTTATTTGTTGCTTTATAAATATGCCCCTTAGTGTTAGGCTGACTTTATAAAACACTTGGACATTGACTGTTAACCCTCCATCTACCAGCCCTGCTTTGCAAAGCTTTATAGAAAGTTGACATCAAGAAAAATATAGGCACATGTGTTAGCTGTGTGTGAAAACACATTTAGTTTATACAACTAATATATAACTAGGTTATTTTGTTTTTCAATATTTGCCTGAATTTTCATGTTTTACTATTATTATAAAATATGTTTGCATTCTATGTCAGTGTTGCCCCCTAAGAGTTTGCCATTTATCACTGTTCTAGTAGAGAAGGTGTTGATAAATAATATGTAAATCTGGCTACATCCCCTCCCACAATGTATTTACTAGCCATACATAGAAAAAAGCAGTTAAGAAATATTGATAATATTACTTTCCTCGGCCTGACCAACTTATATCCATATATAAACACATACAACAAGAAAACTTCAGGCAAGCAGCTTGATACATGGGAGTTGTGACACATGCCAAAGGATTGCATTTCTGTCCATCCATTCTTAAGCAGATGAAAATGCAAGGAACATGATTGATTCTCAGTGCTGCCCTTCCCTCTGTCAGTCATAGTGCTGACAGGGAATTGAAAGAGGATGATTCCGAGTTAGATTCAGGTACTGATATTACTTGATTTTAAAACACATTTGCAGGGTTATTAAAAAAAAAAGGGGTAAATATTGTGGAGAAGGCAGGAGAAGTGAAAAATCTAGGACAGGGGCACCCACTATTTTTCGTCTGGAGATCTACTTTTCAAATGACGAGCTCATTGAGATCTACCAATGAAAAAACACCTGCATTCAGGGGCGGGAGGGGGTGTGGCGGTGCATTGAAGTCAATGGCACCGCAGCCAGGCTCCGCAGGCAGGCCCCTCGCCCACAGTGCGATCGCCTGCATTAGTGCCTGTGTTCCAGTCCAGTGCGATCCGCAAAAATTCTGCGAGCACTATTTTTGCAGATCGCACTGGACCGGAATGCAGGCACTAATTTTCGTAATATTTTTTTTTTTTAAACTCTTGGGGGGCTTCGGGGAAATATTAGGGGTCTAAAAAGCCTCTTGATATCTCCCTTTTAAAATAGAAAAAGAAATTGAGGACACAAAGTCCTCAATCTCTTTTTCTGCAGCCTCTATTCTAAATGAATGGAAAGCAAAGAGGCTTCCCATTCATTCAGAAAATATTTTACTATCAAGCACTTTCTGAATGGGGAGGAGCCTCTGTACAGAGTGCTTCTCCCCATTGAGAAACTCATGCATGAACAGGACGTGATGTAAATCACATCCTGTTCATTCATTTATAACTGGGGACACATAGTACTATTGTCCCCAGTTATTTACAAACACTGGAGTGATCAGCCGATCGCTCCAGTGTTTGTCCTGCACAGAGGATTGGTACATACTAGTGACATGTACCGATCCTCTGCCGCTCGTCCACACACAAGGGGGCTCAGCTTCTCCTCTGGATCCCCCTGCTCTCCCGGGCAGAGGCAGCGGGGGATCCGACGAGAAGTGAAAGAGCACTTCAGCCTCCAAACTCTTCACCCTTTTGTGAATAACCCTGTTAGTGTTTTTAACTGCATTCATTGGCATTTTTTTATATCTGCCTGAAGTTCAGCTTTAACTTTCTTTTCAATATAAACATGTAGAACCAATTTAACAAGTTTTATCTTTTGATGATTTTCTCACACAATCTTATAATACCTAAACATGGCCTTGAATAATAATGTTGACTTGCTCACCATGTGTTAATCAGGCAAAGTTTGTGGTATATTTCTATCTGTACTTCTCTCTGTATTAAAGTATTACTTTTGCACTTGTTTAGTGATTGTTATTATGATGTACTAAAAATCACTATGAATCATCAGTGCTAAATTAACCTTGGCCAACCTGCACTAAATATGATCCCTGTGTGTGTTGTAAAGTAGCCACCGGTCCAAGCTCACTCCTGTGATAGACTACAATCGCATGTTTAGTCTACTAATCAGTATTGAGATTGTAGACTATCATTGGAGCAAGCTTGTAGTTGTGGCTACTTTACAACACCCACAAAGACCATGGAGAACAAAAGTAGCCACCCTCCAGAAGGAAGGACAGTGTCAGTATGAATGATTTGAGGATCTACAGCCGAGTGATACACAAATGAGATACATTTTTGTTAATAGTTAAGGTACTTGAATGCATTTTTTAAGATTTAACTCCTGAGTTTAGTGTCACTTTAAAGTTTTAAAATACAGTATCAGTGGAAACAGTTCTGTGAATTGTAGGCATTGAACAATAGAAATCACCAGCACTCGTAAATTAAATTAAAAAAAAGTCAATTTATTTGGACTAAACGTCACACATATCGCATAATCTAATGTTTCAGGGCCACGCAGAGATCTCTGCCCTGATGAAGGGACCCTGTGTGGTACCGAAATGTCACACATATCGTCACACATATCGATAGCATTTCCTGTGACGGCCATGTATCCTGTGATGTCATTTCCAGAGCTGCAGGGAACAAATATGAAGGTATCCTTGAGCTCAATCCTGGGAACTCCTGACTCAATGCCCTTCAATATGCATTTATCTGGAGGGTTTTGTCAAACCTTTTTTACAGTGTCTTACCCTTTCAATTGTTACACTGTTGACTCTACCCCCTCCACTCTGGACCCAGAAAGATTTAAAAATAGCCCCGGCACTCTATGGGACTGTAACTCTGCCCCTCTTTGTCTTATATCACAGCTAAAAAAGGCTTAAACCAATATGCCATCTGAGCTACACACTCTATGCTTGAAAGGTACAAGATAAGCTGTTCAGTGCTAGTCTCAATTTGACAATGTAAAAAAAACAAAAACTTTTTTTGTAATTTAGATTATTTTCACAGCAGCATGACCAATAACAAAATCACACATTACGTACACAGCATTTTAGAAAAATGATCTCTTTTAATTATAATTGAATTATATTTTCATAAAATAATTTTTTTTAATCCAACCATTTTGCTCAGAAAAGCAAACTATTCACCTTAAAAAAAACCCTTCTACCAATCAAGATGTACAGGTTTATTCAATTTAGGATAGAACAAAGTGAGATAATCCATAGCAACCAAAGACACTAAAGGGCATATTTATAAAGCAAGTTTTGATTGCTACACTGATCATTCACTGTAGTTATATCCCATTTGATGCCGTTCACTGCAATTTTTCATTTTCCAACCTAACTTCACTGTATACATAAGACAGTGAATGGGCCTGCCACTGGCCATGGTGCAGTTTCTAACGTGCTGTATTTTTATCAATATTTCATCAATGCATTCCTATGGAGGATCCACCACATTTTCACCCACTCCTTCATACTTCCTGTTCCAGAAGAGCTCATGCACACGGCTGTAAAGGGCTGTATTCTTTCATTACTTTTATTTATTTTTTGTCCAGGCAACCTGTTCAAATTAATAATAGGCTGCGGCTGCGTGCAGCTATACGCTAATATTCGCAACTCCAAGTGGCTACAGTTGAACAGGACTGTATGCGCATCACCTTTGCACCTGTGTGATTAGATGAACTGCAAATGGAATTATATACATAAAATACTTGCCTTTGCTGGCATTTAACATGTGCATGGTAAATGGCCACCAAATGAAGACAAATCTATGCAGGCTAATGTACCTAAATTTTCATGCTCATTATTAATATGTCCCTTAATCTTTAGCTGATGCCACTTCATTAAACAGAAGCGGATTTATTGCTTTGGGCTACTCCACTTTGTATCTCAGATTTGCCTTTGTGCAATTTTACTAAATAAACCTGATAGTATTAGTGTATTGTAAAGAACTGTAGATGTTGTTGACATCATTCTCATTCTATTTGTCCTTGTCAATGCTTCTTACTTTAGCATCAAATTTAATGCTGTTGAATTCACTTAAAGCTTTCAAGGCCCGTTCTGGTAATATCCTGTAATGAGAAAGAATGAAAGGATACATTTAATACCAAGGTTGGCCACAGGTGGCTACATAAATTAAAGCATGGACACTGAGGGCTTAATAAGTATGCACTTGGGATGGGGCACTGAGAAGATAACCCTTGTGGGCCAAGAACTGAGTGCTTAAGGGTTGTGCACATGGTCTGCATGCTGAAGGGTTATCACAAATGTTCTAAGAGGTTAATGTGTACTTGAACTGGAGCCTGGGTACCAAAAAGGGTAATGCACATACGTTGGGGACAGGTCACTGAGTGGTTAATGCACATACAAACTGAAGACTCATCACTGAGGGGATAATGCAGATGCTCTCAGAGCTGGTCACTGAGAAAGAAAATACGCATACAATGCAGACTTGTCACGGAAGGGATAATAACTATGTTGGGGGCTGATCACTGAAGGATAACAATCATAAGCTGAAGATAGGTGACTAAGGTGTTAATGCTCATTGTTTGAGTGCTGATCACTAAGGGGTATTGCTCAAACACTGGAGGACCTGTTACTGCAAGTTACTGCACATATACTGCAGACTGGTCACTGAAGGGATAATGCTATGACTTGGCTAGTGAGCTGTGTGTACTGGAGAGGCCATCTCACTGCTGGTATGGATACTGGTTAGTGTAACATGTGCACTGGGGAGAATATAGGAGAAAGACCCAAGTGTCTCCTAAACACACACAAACACATCATAATGACTGCTGCTAAACTGAGCTTCTCTCCGAACTGTGCAACCTCGGGTCTTTCTGCCTGAGCTTCATAAGCAATGCCTTGAGAAGGGACAGGGCCACTGTTCAATATGCAATGTCTATGGTGGGAGTGTAGGTACTTAAGACTTAGGAGTCTCTGGAAGGGAAAACTAGAGATTGTGTGTGCTGGTGGATGGATAGAGGTTAAAGACCATTGCACATGTGCTGGGGATGGGATCTCACTGGGGAAAGACCAATGTGTGTGCTGGAGGTGGGATCTCACTGCTTGGGTATGCTTTGCTCAGCTAAATTCAAGACTGGAGGCAGTGAGATGACATGACATAGTAAAAGTGGAACTTACACATTATACCTTATAGAATAGGAAAGGACTGGCAGGAACGTTCTAAAAAAAACCCCACTAACATTAACTTTTCCCTCCAACAAAACACTCTTGCAGTTTCTTAGATTTCTAACAAGGTAGTTTCTTTCTTACAAGTCAGTCTCTCTCCTATAGGCCAGTCCTTCATATGGCCATCTTATTCTCAAGGGGCAGCTTCTTATAGAGCAGTTTCTCTTTAACACGGAATACTTTCACATTGCACTCTCTCTTTAACCTCCTGTGGACTGGCCACTATATATAAACGGCCTATGCGAACCCTATCATGGCTGCCTATTCACATGTGCCCTGTGCACGCAGAAGCTGCTACTTTCGCTGTCATTAGACAGCAAAGAGCAGCAGCTTCAGGCACAGAGCCAATCATAGCAGCTCTGTGCCTGGTGATCACTGTGATTGGCACTGTGCCTTGTGATCAAAGTCATCACATGGCAAAAGTTTATATTGCCAAGTCTTCCCCTTCCTCTGTTGTAAGAGTACAGACTCTAATGAATGCAGAATCCATTCCTTATTTCCCAATGAAAACAAGCTTCAGCAGCAGCAACAACAAAAAATAAAGTTTTTCATCAGGTTTCTCTTTTTAGGTCTTTTTCCTTTATATAACAAAATAAAAGCAGTTATTATATACCACCAGAAGAAGGTTCTTGCTGGCTAAAAAAAATGTTATAAAATTAAACTTGGGTAAAGTGTTGCATGATGGAGCAATTCTCAGCCAGACCTTCACAGCACCGAAAACTGAAAAATGGCCTAGTAATGAACGGGGTGTAACATGCCGCCAGTAGTGAAGCAGTTAACCATTGCAGGTGATTGACTGCAATGTAACATTGAAGTATCTTTTTTCTGTCTCTAACAGTGCTAAAACAGATTATCTAATACAGTGATGTGCTTTTGGATTAATTCACAAGGAGACACTGAGATGTGGTCCACAGCAACCAGTGGGGTTTTTTTTTAACCCTTTTCCTTTATCTTGGTGCAGTAAAACATATTAACTCCATTTTCTTCACTTTTCTACCACAGTTATTTTTTGCCAAATTGAAAATAGTTTTTAGTCTAGAAAGGTTTGAAGATTATGTCTGGCAATTCTCTCTCTCATTTTTAAAAATGTTTTTAGATGGCGCTGATGTGAATATGCTACTAGACATCACCCTAGGCAGCAGAACAGAACTTAACCCAGATCAAGTGTATGCCTTATTGGACCTTTGCCTGAGTATAATCTATTTCAAGTACAAGGACAAGTTCTACTGGCAGAAACATGGCTGTGCCAGGGGACTGCCAGTTTCACCTATTGTGGCGAACCTGTACATGGAGGAAGTAGAAAGCAAGGCCCTGACCACCTTCAAGGGAATTACACCCAGTCATTGGTTCAGATATGTGGATGACACTTGGGTTAAGATTCACAAATAAGAGTTAAAGGCTTTCACTGACCATATCAACTCAGTGGATCATAACATCAAGTTTACACGAGAAGATATGCAAAACAACAAGCTGGCTTTCTTGGACTGTTTAGTAACAGTAGAAGAGGGAAGGAGGCTGGAAATAGAGGTCTACCGAAAACCAACACACACTGACCAGTACCTGCTATCTGACTCCCACCACCCTTTAGACCACAAACTGGGAGTCATCAGGACTCTACACCACCGGCCAGAGAAAACTACCACCAGAACAGAGGCCAAGATGAAGGAATTCAAACACCTCAAGGGGGGCCTTAAAACGTGCGGATATCCAGACTGGGCTTTTGTCAAAACAGAAAAAAGGAGAGGAAAGAATGCCAAGAGTACCAGAGAGGGTAAAAAGCATGACAGATGAAATAATTTTGTCATCCCATATGTAGCTGGGGTGTCTGAGAAACGCAGAAGGGTTTTTAAAACATCAAATCACTGCCTGCTTTAAATCCAGCAATACACTGATGCAACAACTGGTTCACCCAAAAGATCCAACGTCAAACCCCAAATGAACAACATTGTTTATGCAGTCCAGTGCAGTGAGGAGTGCTCAGAATTGTATGTCAGCGAAACAAAACAGCAGCTACACCAGCGTATGGCACAGCATAGAAGAGCCAAACCCTCTGGTCAGGATTTGGCAGTATACCTACATCTAAAAGGAGAAAGGTTACTCCTTTGAAGACAATCAAGTACGCATTATAGACAGGGAGGAGGACTGGTTTAACCTCCCTGGCGGTATGATTATGCAGGATTTTAGCATGCCAAAGCGTTACATTGTTTTTCATGGCAATTTGTTTTATATTGTAGGCCTGTAATTCTTAGTAAATCTTAGGAATAACTCACCTAAATCTCTCCAAACAAGAGTCCAATAGACATCCCGGGTATGATAAAGTTTGAAACACGAAATCATAAATTATAATATAATAAATAATTATAAAAAATTATAATATAATAATAAAAAAATGGTACAGTAAATGGGAATTTTGGGGGCGCTGCGTGATCCGTACTACAGTCAATAGAGTACCAAGTTTGCACATCACTGAGTTTGGTCGCAGAATTGTCGCTGTCGTCACTTTCCGTGTCTGATGACGAATTTCCCAACGAATCGCTATCGCTCAATTCTGCAAGTGATTCTAATTTACTATCGCTGTTTTCTACCTGGTCTAAAACCACTTTTGACCTAAAGGGACGCTTTTTGGATGCCATGGACGTTCTCAAGTTTCCAGGCAGAAAGAACAGTAAAAGTGCAGGCAGGGCACTGGACAAAGCTCTAGGGACAAAATTGAAGTGAAATGGTTTGATACATAAATGTAATTATAGCAGATTACATTGTATTGTGTGTATTCTGTGTATTTTACATGTTTTCACTTTTGAATTATCCCGCCGGCTCCGCCCCCCGCTGTGACGCCAAAAACGAAAAGTCAGATGCCAGCATCGGCAGGCCGCGTACAGCAGAGGACACCGTGGGCTCAAAGGGACAAGGTAAGTGACACTTTTGTGCAATCCCGAGTGTGGCTCGGGTTACCGCTATTGGTACTGAAAATTAACCCCGAGCCACACTCGGGAATACCGGCAGGGAGGTTAAAAGAGGTGTGAATGAGGCCATTTATGTAAAAATGGAGAAGCCAGGCTTGACTAGACTAGATAGATATTGCCTGCCCCATACAATGCTGTTTTAACACCTGGTCAAGTTATTAACACCTCCTAGACTCTGATTATGCAAATGTATCAACACCTGGTTGTGACTAACAGATTATGCGGATTGGAGCACCATTCACCATATTTATTCCTAGATAATTTTTTGTACATGTCATTCTGAATTGAGAAAGCTGGTTGGATGACCAGTGAGACGTCTTCAAGAAAAATACAGCAAGTCCAGTTGCCTTGACTTATTTTTTACAGATATGCTGATGTGTATAGAACGCTTTATAAATGAAGCCCTAAGTACAGTATGCTTGGGTTTGGAATAAATCGTACTTAGATGTGGTTGGAAAACCCCTTTAACTAATACAAAGTCAAAATATTACTTACACTTCTAGGACAGTAGTAAAAACCACAGAAGGTGGAATACAAATCAGCTTCTTATTAGTCAGAATGCCATCCACTAACTTCTTTGCAACATCTTCTGGATCCAGTACAGGAATAAATCTGAAATATAAACATAATCATGTGTGCTTAGAGGAAGGTGAAGACTGCCATTGTTGTTCTTATTCTTAAAATGAATGTAAAGACTTTTATTTTTACATTTTGGATAGAGTGGGGAAGTAATACTTCTGACAGCATTTTAATGCTATAATTATAATGGCAACTGAAAAACATGTACCTATTTCACCCTGTGGTACAGATCAATTAACCAATTAACCAATTAACCAAATATAATCCTAATATCCTAATATCTAAAAGTCTAAGCAGTCCTACAGAACACAAAGGGGTCTATTTATAAACAATTCACAGTTGCCCTGCAAATATCTGTAACATTTTTTTGGTCAAATAGTGGCAAAAACAGATGTTCTCAATGTATCTTTTTTCCTACATTTGAATGTACTGTTGTAATCAGGGCCGGATTTCCCACAAGGCCAACCGAGGCCCGGCCTCGGGGCAGCAGGGAGTAGAAGGGCAGCAGGGGTGTGGATGTCCTATCTCCCGACGCCCAGGGCATGCAGTTCTGGGCGCCGGGCGGGCAGTTGTTTTCTACATTTAGTCCTGCTTTGGGCAAGCAGGGCTATATGCACAGCAGGGAAGCCGTCGCTTGTTTTGTACAAGTGATATCGGCCATGTCGCCGAGATCACTTGTATGCGACCTGCATACAGGGGGCGCATTGAGGAACCTGGTCTTGGGGCAGAAGAGAGTAAATCCGGCCCTGGTTGTAATATTACATTATGGACACTAGATGGAGCTTTTCCCAGTTAAAAAAGTGGTGTGTTGTAATATTATATTATGGGCACTAGAAGGAGCATAATAAAGAAATACAAGGGATCAAGATTAAGCATTATTTACATATAACTGAGGCAAGGTTAATATGTTATAAGATCTAATTAGCTAATTATTTCATTTATGAGACTGAGACTTTTAATAATTAGTTTTTAATTTTTTTGGAGGAGGTAACTATTTTCAGCGTATTAGATTCTTATGATGTGACATAGAAAAAAATTATATATGTAACGCACGCATGCACACACACACACACTAGATCTATCACCAGTACATCAGTAGAGAGAGCATATCTTTCAGTGATGACAAAAATTTCACCTCACTTTAGAAAGATTTTATCACTGCCTGATGTGTCTCCAAGACAGGAAATTGAAGAATTTAACCAGTACTTACTATAGTACTATAGTTAACATACTTGTTGCCTAGCTGCCTCTGCCTTCAGTACTTTGGGAGACACTGACCTGGAACAAGCATGCCAGCCATTCCCACATAGATTACTCCAATGCAGCCTTCAGGCTGAACAAAAGAACTCTAATAGATTCCTCTATCCACACTAAACTGATCTTCCCTGTCGGCTATTGTATTTAGACAACTGGCAGGGGCAGTCTGACTACATGAACGGTGACTGCATTCAGCAGGAATCAGAAAAAACTCAAGCGTATGGCCTGCTTATGTCTAAACTCCTAATCTGCACCCATATTCTAGGTCAGTGACTCAAAGCCCTGAAGAGACTGGAATAGTATGACAGCCAGGGAACTAGTGCTTTCAGAAGATGAGGTCAGCAAAGTCCACACTTGCTCAGCACAGGTTTCCTTTAAATCACTTCAGTTTTAGAGAAAAAGCCTGTTTACTATCCACCCCCAACACAATCATACTTCATTCATCTGGGAATTATTTATAAAAACTGAAGAAAAAAATAAGGGAACAAATTGTGGATTTGTTGCGCACAGTCCGAAGTCATATTTGCTTGTTTCTTTGTTACAGAAAATAGCAGTGAAATAGAATTGGACACAATTTTTTTTTAGTTCATAGAAACATGTTGCATTTCATATCTCTCAGCTATTTACCTTGTGCTTGAATTTTTTACAAAGCCGGTGTTTACAAATACAGGGCATAGACATGACGTCTTGATTCCTGTCATCTGCAGTGCTGCAAGCTCAGCTGTCAGTGCCTTGTGGTATCCAAGGGCAGCAAACTTAGTAGAGCTGCAAAGCAAACAAATAAACGTAGAATGTATTTAGGTAGTAAAAAAGCAAATATGAAACATGCAATAGAGGTACATGTATACAATCACGGCTGAAGTAGAAGCTCCTTTGTGACGGGTATACTGATGCTGCTTGACCAAGCACAGGAAACACACTTGGCAGTGCCAATGCCAGTGCATCAGTTACAAAGGAGCTTTATCCTCAGCTGTGGAGAAGCATTTGTCAGCAGCAGGTCCTCTAAAGCTCACCATACACATTTCAATTAAATCGTATAACAGGGCTGGAGAAATTCCAGATAGCTAATGCTCCATGAAAATGACAGCTGACGTCTAACTTTTGAGGTTTTTCTCTAGTTGTTGTCAATGGAGCCACCTCCTAAAACAATATCCTGCTGGCTCCTGGATTGGACAGACTGGCTCCTAAATTTCATATTCATTTGCCCACCCGTGCTGTAAATCTTTGAACAAGTAACTGTGTATTTAACAATGTAATGTGAGGACCTACCTGCCCGGCATGACATAACTTTAGCACATGGGAGTGGGACTTCATTCATCCCAGCACCAGGAAGATGCTGAGATTTTACATGTGCAGCTTAGTGTACAGTTTAAGAGGTTTGCAAGGAGTCAGATAACAAATCTTTGTTGCAGAAGAGACATGTATGCACTTTTCTGGCAGTATGCACCTTTAAAAGGTCATGCGCCAAATAAAAAAAAAGCCCAGTCGCCTATCACTTGCGACAGATTCAAGTACAGTAGTTCTTAATACTGCAACTTTGAATGTGTCGCTATGGATGCAACATATTCTAGAAGAATTACCAACAGTTTACAATTTGGAAAAATGGCAGTAATTAAGCCCAACTCTGATCTGGCGTACAGAGGCTGTGCTCAGAGTGGGGCATTTAAGCTGTCATGAATCTGACAGCTTCCTTGTGATTAGTTACTAGGACACTGGGCTGCCGAAGTCCTAGCATCCCTAGCCCCATTCAGCTGCTGGCCAGAAAATTCGCCAGCGGGCAAGTGATTACAAAGAGGCCAAGGATGCTGACTGTCAGTCAGAATCTTCCCCTGGTTACATTTAATTATTTAGTGCCACTGAGTGGGCAGAGCCTGATGGGGAATTCTGAAAATTGAGTTCCCCATCAGGTCTGCTCTGCTGTTGATTGACAGCAGGTGGGTGCCATAGCCATTATCAGGCTGACTATGGCACCCACCCATTGCCTGTTGTCAATCAGCAGCAGAGCAGACCTGATGGGAAACCCATTTTTCAGAATTGTCCATCAGGCTCCTCCCACTGTTAACGTCACTGGACATTAAGGATGCTGTTGAATATAGCCCACTTTCTCTGCCCACTGCTAGAGTCACCGGTCGTTAATGACACTATCCCTTTACAACCAGTGATGACAGCTGTCAGTGATGCTGTTTGCATTCAGGTACATGATTCTGGTGCAAGAATCAACATTTATAGGGTGTGCATGACTGAATTCTAAACAGTGGGGCAGACACTTTTTATGAATTCTGGGGATAGCATGTTGATACCTATCTGCTTGAAAATCTTTAAATTTACATTTAAGTTGAAATCTTTAGCTAGGTTACCTCATGTTTCACCAAAATAGGTGCCAAACAGGTGGTATTGTCAGGGCCCAAAAAGAGCAACCATGGGAAATTGCCAGTGATACTACGAAAGAGGCAAATGGACTGAGGAGCAGGGGGAAGCCAGACCGCAAAAATTGCCAAAAGCAAAACACAGAAAAACAAAATTAACCAGACAGAAAGGGCTGGAACCGAATATTGCCACAACAGGAAAAGAGAACTTGCTCACATATGTCAAGAGGTGCACTAAATTCAGGGTAATTGTATAGATCAAGGTACAGACATTCAACATACCAGCAAACACTGCACACACATACAGTATACAAACTTGTGGAACTGGCATACTGAAAGGCAGGTAAGAACAAGAGCTAGCAGGGTGGATACACAACCTTGGGAGACATCTAATAGCAAGAAAGAACACTGCAAAGATCCAGAGCAAAGCCTATAGGCAAATAATGAAGGGTTGCACATTTAATTGAATGTTTTTAGATGTAAAAGAGATAGATATGTTTTTCAATGTGTGCTAATCTTCTAAAAACCTTGTAGCTATTTATTGTAATTATATATGTACTGCCACATTTACTCATTGCATAAGTGGGCTCTGCTTCCTATTTGTATCGATATACAATGGTTGTGCTTTACTGCAAATCTCACACAATTAAAATCTTCTTACTCATTGAAAACATTTAACTTTTTATGTGGATGATATCTCTTCTCTGTTAAATGACCTATCTTTGTTAATAGTCTCCAAACTCATCTCCTGCACATACTGCCCACAGTCGTATCCTCTGCACTCCTCTCTGGCACATACGGCCTGCTCTCACACCCTCCACAATTCTCTCCTGCACATACTGCTTGCTCTCACACCCTGCACATGGCTCTCTGGCACATACTGCCTGCTCTCACACCCTCTACAATTCTCTTTGGCACATACTGCCTGCTCTCAAACCCTCCACACTTCTCTCCTGCACATACTGCCTGTCCTCACACCCTTCACACTTATCCCCAGCACATACTGCCTGCTATCACACCCTCCACACTTCTCTCTGGCACATACTGCCTGCTTTAATACCCTCTGCACATCTCTACTGTGTATCTTACCCACTAAAAGAGTTCCTACATTGTGATCTCCCCAACCTTGCCTGTTCTTCATCAGGCACCCATTTGTAAGTAGTAATAAAATAAATTCTAAAATCATACCAGTAATCTACCATATACGGGACTCCAACAAATCCAGCTGATGAAGCAATAGTAACAATGTGACCATGATTTTTCCTCATCATTTCTGGCAGGAAGGCTCGTGTAGTCTGCAGTAATAAAGTGAACCTGCATTAGTGCATGAAATGTATTCACAAAACATACCACCTTGCAAATCATTTACTAGTTGGAATATAATGCAAAACTGTGGTATTGTTTTTGCAAAATGAATTATTATTCATTACATGTAATTGCATGGGAGATAATTTTCCACAATTAAATAATCTAATAGAGGTTTTCATGTTATCAATTTCTACAGGTGAAACTCGAATAATTAGAATATCATGCAAAAGTAATTGCAGTAAGTGCTGCAAAAGGGGCCCAAACCAAGTACTGAGTACATATGCATGCTTGTACTTTTCAGAGGTCCGATATTGTTCTATGTACAATCCTTGTTTTATTGATTGCATGTAATATTCTCATTTTCTGAGGTTGTGGATTTGGGGTTCTTGGGGTTTTCATGAGCTTTAAGCCATAATCATCACAATTATGACAAATCACGGCTTGAACTATCTTGCTTTGCATGTAATGAGTCTATCTCATATATTAGTTTCACCTTTTAAGTTGCATTAGTGAAATAAATGAACTTTGCACGATATTCTAATTATTCGAGTTTCACCTGTACATTACATTGGATGCATTATGACATTAAACTGTTATCAGTAAGGCCCCATTTGCACTGGATCCATTGCGCTGCAATGGCATCGTAAAATGAATGGGTGTGAATAGGACAGTTCACACCACAGCGTTGTGTTGCATTGCGTTGCCGTATGTTGCGCTGAAAAAAAAGTAGAGCATGCACGACTTTATTTCAGCGCAACGCTAATGCAAAAATGCATGCTAATGTGCGCTAACGCAAAACAATGCATTGTGTCCTCTCAGGACATTTTACTTCACATGCAGATCGCCAAATTTTTTTTTTTAAAGGCAACGGAACGCACGGGCTCAGAGGAAGATTGGAAGATACAATCACAAGTCAAAGGAGTATGAATTATTCAATTAATCAAAATCAATGAATAATTTTGGTGTGAATGCCCCCTAAAACTATTAAAAACAATAATGTATCTTATGTGTGTACCATTCAGCTGTAGATCCTCAAATCTGAATTGGTGCTGATACTGTCCTTTCTTCTGGAGGGTGGCTACTTTTGTTCCCCATGGTCCCTGTGTGTCTTACAAAGTGGTCACTGCTCCAAGCTCGCTCCCGTGATAGACTAGAACTTCAATACAAATGAGTAAACTAAAACATGAGATCGTAGTCCATCCCAGGAGCATGCTTAGAGCAGTGACTACTTTACAACACACACAGGGACCACGGGGAACAAAAGTAGTTACCCTCCAGGGGGAAGGACAGTGTCCGCACCAATTCAAAGATACTGAAATTAGCTACATTTTTGTTTATAGTTGGGGTACTTAATTGCATATTTAAGATTTAATTCCTGAGGCTAGAGTCACTTTAAGAGAGTCTTATATTTTTAAACATAATGCTCATATAGTAGCAAATATACCTAGCCAGGTGCTCTGCAGAGAACAGGACTAGAGAGGTTCTACGTGGCCCAAACACACCACTCCTGGAGATGCTTGAATATATTGTGCTTGGTACCCTTACATGAAAAGACTATAGAAACATGTATTGAAGTGGTATGGATTATACAGTACTGACTGTACCTGGATAGCTGCTCTATTTGTGCATACAAATCTATAATTTTATATTTTTATCTGAAACTAGCATTCATTTACTTTGGTTGCCCATAGATTGTTTAGTGTATACACTGAATGAATTTCGAATGAACAAAATCGATTTCGAAATGTGCGTTCGACATTCTAATAGATGATGGGGTCAAATCAATGATTAATTTCAACTGCAGTAGCGAAAAAATTCAAAGGAGCATGTTGTAAAATATTCTCATTAGATCGAAATTCAAAAAATGAATATGGTTAATTGTTAAATCAAAACAAAAATCAGACGAAATTTCGAATGACATTTGGCATTATCGAACATTCTGACAAGATTTTTCATACGAACATTAATTTGCAAAATCTACCAGTGTGTACCTTACTTTAGTTCCACAAACATCAACCTGCAGTGAATCATCTAAATAAAGCATATCTAAACCCAAAACCAAAATTTTAATATATTGCAGCATAACGGTTTTAAGATGTGGTGGCTGAAATGGATTTTTGTTGTCAGACTTTTATTCCTTTATTTTCACCTGGTAACATTGCAAATAACACACTTCCTGTCCATGATTGCCTACGCTCACTCCTCCACTGAATCTATGGAGGAGGCCATGATTGTCATCCAGGTTGGACTTTAAAGATGTCTGCCTTTATTTATCTCCATTACATGGAGGGAGGATTAATAGTTTACACAAATAGGATAACATTGTTTTATGTTTTAAGGTCAGCTAAAGGAAAATACACTTTTTTGGCAAAATCAACAGCTAACAGCCTGAAAAAGCAAACTAATGCAGCCACCACCCACCACATCTAAGAGCTGGTAAGCTGCAATATACTGTATTACATTATAAGAAAAGACAATGGCAAGGTGCAAATCAGGTAATTATACATTATGACCCACATACCTGCATTGAAACTTATGCATGTCTTTAGCTACATTACTATTCTCCATAGAAAAGGGAACAATTAGTTATTGCTCATAACACCCATATGCACTCACAGCAATTTAGAAAATGTGTGTGAAGGTCAAAAGAGCTCTTTTCTCCACCTAGATATCCCTACCATGGCCCATTCCTTACCTAACCATACTTGAGTTTTGTACATCAGCTGTAAAGACAGGGTTTTGAATGGTCATTCTTAAGGTGCCCATACACTTTGCGATTATCGTACGATAATTGCGGGAAATCCGGCGATCGCACGATAATCGCAAGTTGTATAGAAGGCATGCGACCGTTTCTACTGTACGGTCGCACGTCTTTTGTCTAACGAACATGTTTGAAAACCCGCTGAGAATCGTACGATTGTCGGCGGGTTTCTGGCCTGCTCGTAAGACAAATGCCGATCGGGCCGGTGTCTGCCCGTTCAGCATTGCAGTCATCAGCAGCCAGCCCCTCAGCGGGGCGGGCTTTCGAGGATCGCAAGTACGCTCTGCCTGTCCAAGATGGGCAGATCGTACGAGCTTTTAATTAGCTTACAACCATCGCAGGACAAAGTCTTGCGATGGTTGTAAGGTGTATGGGCACCTTTAGAGCAGACAAAAGCTAGACTTGGATTGAACAGGGTGCAGTGGAGTGCTAATTAGTTCTATTCTAATACCTTTAATGACACAATTAAATGCAGGCATTATAATTATTTTTCAGATCATTGTTTTCATTGTTTTCTCAAAAAAGAAGAGCTGTTGCTTGTGTAACTAAGGAAGGTCATTTTAATGCACACTTACCCAAAAGTGAGCAAGAATGTTCACTTCAAATATCTTCTCAATCTGATCATTTCCTAGTGTCAATACATCAGCACAGAATATAATCCCGGCATTATTAATAAGAATGTTGACATCTCCCACATCTTGTTTTACCTGAGTCAGAAAGTAAACAGGTTTTAGACATATATTTAATTAGCACACATTGATTACACAACAGAATATGCAAATTACTAATGAGAAAATGAAAAAATACTACAGTGACCATGGGGAGAGAATCAATGTGGCTGATTCCGACCCTGCACAAAGATCATAACTGTCATCAGCAGACAGTGCACTCATGTGTAATTCATAAAGGCTAATTTATAGGTGTTCTCTTGGACCCGGCCTGAGATTATGGATGGAATCTTGTTGTGCAGATGCATTAGAGTTTGCCTAGTTATTTAAATGTACCCCATGAATAATGGTCAAGTAGAGTTCACATTAGGTAGTATGCTAATACCCCAATGTGGAAAGTCATTGTTTAGGCTGTAACATTGTTACTAATCTGAATTAGAAACCAGATATATGGAGATTAACTGAAACATTTTCCTAAAATAATAATGATAATAATAATAATATAACATCACCTTATCAGCAGCTGTAGTGATTTCCTGGCGTTTGCTGCAATCCACCACATATGTGTAAACCTTGGCTCCAAGTTTTCTGCATTCCGTAGCAGTCTCTTCAATACCTTTCTGTTGAACACAATAGAAATACTTTTGTTAGAAGGCCATCCTAAACTGAGTGCTGTAAGCTTTAAAGAGATTTAAAGTAAACCTGTGTCCATACTATGCACACTAAAGTATCTTAAGTATGCAGTATATTCTGGATAATCAGTAAAATCACTTTAAAACCAGCCCTCACCTCTGTAGCTATAGGGATTGTGGAGAAATTCATCTTCACAGTTCACAACAAAGGCACAGAAATCTTAGCTCTTTTCCTAGTACTTACCTGCAGAATCTTGGTAGCCTTCTAATCCTCCAATCTGAACACACATCAGGTGTCTCTATGTTTTAGAAACTGACTGAAATTTTATTTTAGAGTCTTTGTTATAATTTTAAGAATTAATTAGTTTACAGCACAAGCCACCATAGGAAGTAAGAGGAAATCCCTCCAAAGAGAGGGACATCCACGGTGGTCAGCAGGGTCAACAGAACTAGTGTCCTCATGGGAAGATATCCCATCTATTCCTCTTCTGATGATGTTCACTAGGATACATAAAGAGAGTGAATCCCTCTAACAGGGACATGGACAGCAACAAAAGCCAGTTCAAATCCCTCACCACTCTGTCCAAAACTGAAAAAAAATATTGGCTTCAGTTGGACTTTAATGTACTTAGTCTGGACACAGGTACACTTTAAAACTAAATTCAGCAAATCAAGAAGGACAGCTGTAGATGAGCTGAGCTAGCACTTACAGTGCCCACCCAAGACTGAAATGTCAGCCCTAACAAGAGGTTACTGGTCATCTTTGTTTGTTTTAATTAGATGTAACCAGGGTTGCTCGTTACAGTCTACCAATATGCAGACTATATTGTATTTATTTCCTTTATGAAGTCTGAAGTGCATGTTCATACAACATCTAAATGCAAAAGGGTGATGACCCACATCAGATCTAATTAAAAAATGTGTTGGGACTAGCTAGCAGTGACAGAGGAGTAGTATATAAAAGTCCCTTCTTTCAGCCAGGAACTCTTGTTCCTTTGCACTGCACCAGTGAACCTTGTTCCTGAGCAATATCAACAAAATTGGCATGTCGAGGGTGGTGAGTGCGCCGGCGCAATAACATGTTGGGTTTACACAGTAACAGTTATCGTAATCAGCTGAATGATCATATACGAAGTAACAGTAACTTGCAGTTTACTAAACAAGTGCAACTTCAGAAACAATAAATGGAAAACAGGTTTAGGATTGCAGAGAACATGCATAGAAAATAATGCAAAACAGATTATGAAAGCTGCACCAACATAGACTCTTCACAGCAATGTCTCTCTGACCCATTTAGCATAAGCTAAAAAATATTTTAAAAATGCTCCTTGCAGTTTAAAGTGCTTTTACTTGGCTTAGGGTTTCTTGTTTTCTTAAGGGTTACAATTCTGCTTGGTCTCTCCTTCTTTGTAATGTTAGGCGGAGTTGTGAGGGGTTTGCATTGTATTTAATAAAGGTAACGAGACAAACACGATCTTCAAATTTCAGTCCTAAGTCTTTCTATAAGGACAGATCACTGTGAAGGGTCTTTAAAAAATCTGAATTCAGCAATATTGCCTGCTGCAACGAAACATCTAAAAGGATTTTTTTAAAGAATTATTTGTCGTTATGCTGTGTGAATGGGAATTTTCTACCCAATCACTACCCTAATAACTTGGTGTCAGATTGGATATACACTTTAATTCTGATTCTACCACTTATTGCTGTCTCTAGGGTATTTTAAATATATGGTTGCTAGTGGACATATAAAGATATGCATGAAGATATTGGTTTTGAACTTGCTGATAACACACATGATTGCATAATCTGTGCACATTAATTACATATGTATTGCTTGTAGCTGCAATAAAAGTTAAAGGCACAGGAATAAATCCGTAAAGGTGAGTCAAATGTCCAATAATGTTTGCACATCAGTGCAATCACATGAAAGTCCAAAACCAATCCTTTTATGCACATCTTTATGGTTCTATCTCTACTAGCAGTCATTTATTTGAAAGTGCCCTAATGACAACAATAGTAGCATAACAATGCTAAGGTGATGACAGCAGGGCCACCCAAGGACCAAATTTCAGCTGATTATGCAGGAATTGGACAACGTGGAAAGCACGTTATATGCATTGCTGGACTGTGGTGTCATTCATTTGGTTGCATCATCAACATCTTTTAAACTGTTGTATCCCTGATTTCTAGTTCATATAGTGACATATTTATTATCCTGGTTCACATTTCATTCCTAAATGCCTTCATACAGAGAATTGTCTCAAAATTGTCTATAGTTTTCTGTTTCTAAACTGTCTCTAAGTTGTCTCTGTCTCGAAATTTTCTCTAAGTTGTCTCTGTCTCTAAATTGTCTTTAAGTTGTCTATGTCTCTAAATTGTCTCTGTCTCCAAATTGTCTCTAAAGCCTCTGTCTAAATTGTCTCTAAGTTGTCTCTGTCTCTAAATTGCCTCTAAATTGCCTCTGTCTCTAAATTGTCTCTAAATTGCCTCTGTCTCTAAATTGTCTCTATGTTGTCTCTGAATTGACTCTAACCTGTCTCTCTCTAAATTGCCTATCTGTAAATTGCCTCTAGGTTGTCCGTCTCTAAATTGCCTCTAAGTTGTCCGTGTCTCTAAGTTGTCTCTGTCTCTTAATTGTCTATGTCGCTAAATTGTCTATGTCGCTAAATTGTCTCTGTCTCCAAATTGTCTCTGTCTCCAAATTGTCTCTGTCTCTAAATTGTCTCTAAGTTGTCTCTGTCTCTAAATTGCCTCTGCCTCTAAATTGACTATAGGTTGTCCGTCTCTAAATTGTCTCTAAATTGTCACAGGCTTGCTGGAAACCTCCTGCATGACAGCTGAATAGTCCCAAAGTGCTCAGCTGACTTGAGGATGTGAGGGCGAATTATCTTTGCGATACTTTAGGAAGAGCTCAGGATCACTTCTAGGATGTGGAATAGCTTGGAGGTCTTTTAATGTCGCAAATGCTGGATGAAAATACAGCGCGTCGAGGAATTATGTGAAAATACTTGCAGTGAGTCACAAACAGGAATATGTTGCTAGGACGCTTTAAAAAGGCACATAACAGAGATAACACCTTGCAGTTAGTTAGCAAGACATTTCGGTCTTTGCACCTATACATTTTGTCACAAACATGTTCATAAATTCCCTCCATTGTTAATGGCACCCCCATGCACCTTTGAATTGAATGGTGTCCTGGGTGTTGCTTTGTGCTGCAAAAAATGTATCCTGTCCCACACTATCATGTGTTAAGGTATGTTTTTGAGGCCAATCATTTTGAATAGGCCATTTACATCTAGACTTCCTAAGTTTGTGCACCATGGGGGGAATTTATGAATGTGTGTCCGACAACATTTTTATAAGGACAGATTACTGTGAAGGATCTGAGAAAAACCTGGAATCAGCCATGTTGCCTGTTGAAACAAAACATCTAACAGGTAAGATTTTTTAAAATTATTTTTTAGTATACTGTGTGATCGAGAACATATAACAAACATATAGAGGGCTTTTCTGAAATTTGACGGCAAACGTGGAAAAAAAAAAACCAAATGGACTTCAATACATTTAGCCTGTGTTTGATCAACGGTTCTGTCTATTTCACACCTGTCTGACCACCCTGGAATATGGATTACATTCTGTAAACAACTTGGACTGTTTCTGTCTGTCCTGACCTTTAGCACATATTCTTACCATGTTTGTCTGCCTCTTGCCTCAACCATCTGCCTACTTGACTCTGTTTTCACCTCAAGTTTAAATACTACAACTGGTTTCGCCTGAAGTCGGATGTCACCCCAGGTGACACAGTGGATCCACTGAACCCAGTTACATAATTGGAAAGTTCTTACTCTTAACCCTTTCACTGCCACTGACGTATGGCATACATCGCAGGCAGCTGGCCCCTTTAAACAGACTCCCAGTGGCAGCTCAGTCAGGTTTACACATGTAAACATAGTCCTGGGACTATGTTTACATGTGTAAACCTGACTGTGCTGCCGCCAGATGGCTTCCAGGGGCCGGTGTAGTGTGCCCCCTCCCCACACAACACACCCATCTTTGCTTCCCAGGCTCTGATACCCCTCCTGCGGGCCGGGACCAGCATCATTGGTGTCGGTGGGAAGTGGGGAAGGAGGCTGGCGAACAGATGAGTGGGGCCAGATGTGACACTGATTTCAACGCTTCCGGTCCCCCAGCTGTCGTTCCCTGGTGGCAGAAGCCAGGGAAGAAGCTATTGGAGCGCAATTTGAGCTCCAAAAGTTTATTTGGAGTGGAAAGGTGAGGCTAGAGGTTTAATTGACCTCTAATGTCATATTAAAGAGAACCTGTCACCACTAGTATGCAAATTAAATAGGGGGCTTATAAGCCCCCATATGTGATAGCAATTGAAAAAAAGCAAATAGCAAGTAAAAAAAAGTTTAAAACAATTAAATTTAAATAAATTTAAAAATTATATACAGTATGTATAATTGCAAAAAGGATGCGCCTTCATGCAAAAACGACGATAGTGCTACACGTTAGTGGGAGTAACAATTCTAGGGACAATATTCATGGGTATCTCTAAACTAATAAACGGTAAGGCCTTTTAAAGCGTCACCTATGGACAATTTGGGGTATAGTATTTTGTGGACGGACAAAATTTGTAACCTGGGTATGTTGGGTGTCTACCGTGTTTCCCCGAAAATAAGACACTGTCTTATATTTTATTGGGCTCAAAAAAACACACTAGGTCTTATTTTCGGGGTAGGTCTTTTTTTTTTTTTTTTTTTTAATGTACAACAATTCATGTAGAAAAGTCTACATGTATTCATGTACAAAAATATGTTGATCAGGGCAATCAGGGGTGCCGTACCTTTCCAAGAGCAATTTGCTAACCAATCGCTGGCCAGAATGAGCGAAGCGCACTTTCACTATCGATATCACTCCTGGTACAGGAGTCGGCGCTATAGAGGAGGCATCGGCTTATGCAGCTATGCTCCCTCCGGTGCCGCCTTGCTTCCTCTAGTGCAGGCTTAGTTGGCACCGCTGAGTCTCCTGCCTCTCCCGCGGCTCTTCAAGTTCCCCCTTATCCCACCACTGGCCCTGGGAAAGGTCACCACTAGGTCTTATTTTCAAGGGTAGGTCTTATATTTTAGCAATTCCCAAAAATAGTACTAGGTCTTATTTTTGGGGTAGGGGAAACAGGGTATTTACTTGTCATAACCTCATCTTTTATATTTTACAAAAAAATAGGTATTATATTGTGTTTTGGGGAACTGAAGTTCACTTAATTGTATTTTTTACTAAAATTTGGGTTTGATAAAGAGTTGTGCTAATATTGTGCAATGTAAACATTTGCAAAAGCCGCCATTGTATTCTACAAGGTCTTTGCTTTCACTATATATATTATAACATGTGAGCAAAAATATGCCTTGGCAGCGAAAGGGTTAAAAGATAATTCTTTTGTTCATAATCCATAGCAGCAAATCAGAATTATCTCTCTATTATGCCTCCTTAAATCATATTGGCTTTTGATTGGTTGCTATGGGTGACTAGAGGAAGAAGCTATTGGAGCGCAATTTGAGCTCCAAAAGTTTATTTGGAGTGGAAAGGTGAGGCTAGAGGTTTAATTGACCTCTAATGTCATATTAAAGAGAACCTGTCACCACTAGTATGCAAATTAAATAGGGGGCTTATAAGCCCCCATATGTGATAGCAATTGAAAAAAAGCAAATAGCAAGTAAAAAAAAGTTTAAAACAATTAAATTTAAATAAATTTAAAAATTATATACAGTATGTATAATTGCAAAAAGGATGCGCCTTCATGCAAAAACGACGATAGTGCTACACGTTAGTGGGAGTAACAATTCTAGGGACAATATTCATGGGTATCTCTAAACTAATAAACGGTAAGGCCTTTTAAAGCGTCACCTATGGACAATTTGGGGTATAGTATTTTGTGGACGGACAAAATTTGTAACCTGGGTATGTTGGGTGTCTACCGTGTTTCCCCGAAAATAAGACACTGTCTTATATTTTATTGGGCTCAAAAAAACACACTAGGTCTTATTTTCGGGGTAGGTCTTTTTTTTTTTTTTTTTTTTATTTTTAATGTACAACAATTCATGTAGAAAAGTCTACATGTATTCATGTACAAAAATATGTTGATCAGGGCAATCAGGGGTGCCGTACCTTTCCAAGAGCAATTTGCTAACCAATCGCTGGCCAGAATGAGCGAAGCGCACTTTCACTATCGATATCACTCCTGGTACAGGAGTCGGCGCTATAGAGGAGGCATCGGCTTATGCAGCTATGCTCCCTCCGGTGCCGCCTTGCTTCCTCTAGTGCAGGCTTAGTTGGCACCGCTGAGTCTCCTGCCTCTCCCGCGGCTCTTCAAGTTCCCCCTTATCCCACCACTGGCCCTGGGAAAGGTCACCACTAGGTCTTATTTTCAAGGGTAGGTCTTATATTTTAGCAATTCCCAAAAATAGTACTAGGTCTTATTTTTGGGGTAGGGGAAACAGGGTATTTACTTGTCATAACCTCATCTTTTATATTTTACAAAAAAATAGGTATTATATTGTGTTTTGGGGAACTGAAGTTCACTTAATTGTATTTTTTACTAAAATTTGGGTTTGATAAAGAGTTGTGCTAATATTGTGCAATGTAAACATTTGCAAAAGCCGCCATTGTATTCTACAAGGTCTTTGCTTTCACTATATATATTATAACATGTGAGCAAAAATATGCCTTGGCAGCGAAAGGGTTAAAAGATAATTCTTTTGTTCATAATCCATAGCAGCAAATCAGAATTATCTCTCTATTATGCCTCCTTAAATCATATTGGCTTTTGATTGGTTGCTATGGGTGACTAGACCTAAGAATTAACACTTTAATTGAATGAAGCCAGTGTTTAAAATATTTGGAAAAAAACGGAAAATAAACAGAACTTTTCTGAAAAGTTTTATAAGTTCATGTGCCATAGACATCACAGAAATTAAGTAAATATAGTAGTTTGTCTTTTAAATATGAGAATCTTGCTACAAATATTAGCAGTATGCAGATATACTGCAAATAAGTAAAATATGGTGTTAGCTCTAATATTTTAAAGTAGTATTAAACTCTCAAACTTTTTTTCAATAATGAATCCAGATCAAACAAATATAGATTGTCCAGCAAAGTATTTCTTTACATTTTTGCCTAAGCACTTAGGCCCCTTTCATAGTGTCCAATCAGGAGGGGATCCTTGCATGGATCCTCTCATGATCGGAACGGTATGGATCAGATGTCACTGCAGTGACATCCTTGTACAATGGCGGAACTACCGCCATAGCGACCCATGCGGGCACTATGGGGCCCGCGACAGAGGGGGCCTGGTGAGGAGCAGGGCTTAAAATCCTCCCGGGTCCCGGCATAGGTGCGCACGCTATACTTTTATTGTGGATAGGATACACAAAGTCTCCTTGGATTCTGGGGTGGAGGGGGCCTGGCAGTGCCATTCACGTCATCAGCTGCATCAGAACGCATGGTAATACATTGCATTCAAGTGTGGTGCAATCACAAAATATTGTGCATGCTATTTTTTGCAGGCCGGGTGTGTCTGCAGTTCCATTGACATGAATGGCACTGCCAGGTACCCACCCACCCCAGAACGCAAGGAGACTTTGTGTATGCTATCCCTTGAGTCAATAGCATTACTCTTTTTTTTTTTGATCGGGCGGTGGTAGTTTGCGGGGGGGCCATGCAAAACTTTGCTATGGGGCCCTGTGATTTCTAGTTACGCCCCTGTCCTTTTATATCCATTTTTTTTCTCCATCTTGCCATGGAGGAGAAAACTTGTCAGTCTATGGGGAATCAAATTTAAATGGATTTGTGTCTGTTTACATCACATTACCCCTTATCAGGTCCAGCAAAATGGAACACTGTTTCATTTGTTTTTCCGGACCTGGCTGGAGCTGGGGGCATGCAGAATTACATGGACACCTGTCCATTTAGATATGGCTGTCCATAGACTTACATTGAGCATCTGATCGGGCCCACCTCAAAAACTGACAGATGGACCTGATCAGACTGCATGTCTAAAAGGGGCCTTACAGTCTTCATGTTTCCAAACAGCTGACTCCAGCTCTCTCAGCTCCAATTCCCTAAACTTCCTGTCCAGTACAAGATCACAAGAGAGAGCACAGTCTGCAGCAGATGTTCATCTACTAGCTTGGAGAAGGGAGAAAGGAGGAGGGAGGAGAGGAGAGCAGGGAGACACAGCTTACTAGCACACACAAGGGTGACTCCATAGGACCCTGCAAGGTACTCAGGGTATCAGCTCCCCAGGAAGCTAAAATATTTAAATATCAAGGAGCAGCATCCAACATAAGTGATTTAATCAGCATTTAAAATAGCTTAAAAACCTTTTTACTTTAATATCACGTAAAAATGTTTTACCTATGTCAGTACAAACAGTAGTTAAGATATGTGCAATGTAATAGCCCATAACAACCAATAAGATTTTAGTTTACTTTGAGCTGGTCACAAATGTTAGAACTTGATTGAAAAATCTCTGATCAATTACCAGTTATGTAATATGAGAGCTTACCTAAACACCTAAATTATGTCAATTCCTATCAGGAAAGCCATTGTGCAACATAATTGTAAGTAGATGTAAATACGATTGTACAGTCTCCCAGCAATGTGTGTAGCCAGCTCTAAGCTGGTTGTATATTTCCCAATAAATATGTAGTACTAGGATTGTTTAGGCAGACTGTCACAAAACATTGATATTAGCAATACAAATAGGTATAGTTTTACAGATTATACTATATTAGATTATTGGAAGATAAACACTGATAACTTACTCTGGGTTATAGCACTTTCCATCATAAAAATATTAGCAAATGCATAAAGAACAATGCAAAATCTAATACACCTAATGAAGGATGGATGTGTCTGTCATTCCTCCTTGAATACAATAGACTCAATTCAAAGCTCTCTGTATTGAATTCTGCAGCACAATACAAGTGCATGCCAACATTTAAACTGGAATGTCAATCTCTGTAATATGTTTCAATGCAAGTTTTAATTGTTGTTAGTTTTTGCATGTGCTGCAGCGATCCCAGTTGCCCTTCAGTAAAGGAAAACTGATCTTTGTCTCACCTTATTGATATCCCACAAAACTAGCACCGACTGAAGTTCAGCAAACTCCTTGGCAGTATTTCGTCCTATGCCGTGACCAGCGCCTGTGATCAGTACAATTTCTCCATCCACAGACTTCCTTTTTACAGGAATAAATAACTTCACAAAGGACTCTAAGTAGGAGTAGAGGATAGTAAGCAGGAGCAGAAGGATTTCTACAACAATATTCATTATGGCTCATGCAGCAAATGTTGCTTACTAAACTAGGAAGAGGAAAGTTGAACTGCAGCTTGGAGTGACGTCACTGCTCAAAGTCAAACCCATGTGTTAACTAATGCATTGCCTGCACCAGACATGTCATTGTCTTCTAATATGTAACCACTCTTAAGGATTTGTTCTCTTTTTTTCAAAACTTGATAAAGTTGTGTTTTTTGTACTAAGATGTTTTTTCTTTAAATGTTAAAATGCTGAGAATAAAAAGGCTCAATTCACTAAAAGTTAAATACCTCATGACATTTTAAGGGTTAAATAACTCTTGAGTTATTTACCGAATGATATATTTCTTTAAAACATACGGTATTTATATAAAAATGTAGGTTTTACTTTTTCACTTTTTTTATGATATGGCTGTTTCCAGTGATAAAAAGGCCACATGGGTGCAATCATTTGCACCCATAACATGAAAAAAACAGCCAAGGTCCCATTCCTGCCTTCAGGATGGCATTCTTCTCTGTATCCTCCTTTGGATGAACTTATATTCCAGCATTGTGTTCTCGAATACTTCCATTGCCTTAAATTGGAGTTTATGAACACTTTCACACTGCCACAGATTGACAGACTGCAATACCCACTTCCCCTAGCCAAATGATAATATCCTCATCCTTTTGTTTGTGTGAATTGACTTCAATGTGTTTCATGCGATATTTATCTCATGTTTTTTAGTTTTTGCTTTATTTAATTCACATGTTTTCAATGAATTTACTTTTTTATCACATGTGATATTCGCTAAAAAAAGGCCACGTGACAATTTTATCTCATGAGATAACGTTTAGTGAATTGACTCCAAAGACTGTAGTGCAGGGCTCAAAATTTCCACTCGCCTGCTCGCATTTAGCGAGTGAAAATAAAGTGAGGGCGAGTAGAAATTTGGGTCTCAAAGTACCGGTCCAAGTTTTTAGTGTTTTAACTCCAGAGTTTATTGTGTCACATCAAGACACATTTGACAAAAAACAAATAAATTAGAGAGGAATGCAGACATATCATAAACTACCACTAGCCAGAGTTCGTTAAAGGCTTCTGATGAGGACCTGTCATAAATGGCTTTGTTGTAAACAGTTTAGTGACATCTTTGAGTTTAGTTTTTGACTGAAAACTGAACTTTCATGCATCTCAAATTCTCAACTCCAATCCATATTCTAGAACTTCTACTTTAATGGAGCTACATTCATAAAAAGTGGTTACACTGATAGATGAGAAGATACCAATCTGTTAGACACTGAACAAACCCAATTTACAAGGTTTAGATGACTAATGAAATACATTAGACCTCCTAAGAAAAATATACTATATATGTACTGTGTACAGTATGTGTGTATATATATATATATAAATATATATATATATTTATATTTTTGTTATCAAAAAAATCCTACTTCCATTCTTTTGACTCATGTGTTGGTTGTCAGATAGTGAGACCTTGCTATATGGAAATATAGATGTATTTCTGAGAGTTGGCATTAGGTGTGCGTCTGCTGAGCCTCAAATCTGTGTGCGCCCACGAAATGACGAAAAATGACAGCACCCAGAATCATCAGTAGACAATGCTTTAAATGCCTTTACAGCCAATCAGTTTAAAGTTAGCCATAAATGAGGGACCTAGAATTTATTCTGACCTATTTCTGTACCCTGGCTTGCACAGCAATATCCTATATGTAAAAAAAAATATTTATCACACAATCTCCCTCCCAGATGCTTCAGTGCACAGTGGTTTCAGCAACAGAAACAGTGCTGTCAATTCAGAGAAGGGTGGGCAGTACTAGGTGTGGCCAGGTTCTGACTAACAAGCTACAGGCTTGTGAATGAACAGTGATAATGCAAACAGCCATGCCCCCTGGAACATTTTTCTGTCCCACTGTAGTACAAGCAGGCACAGTCTACATGAGAGTGGTAACTCTGCTCTGAATTCAGGAGCAGTGCAGCATATTTGCCGCCCCATCACAGGAAGCTGCATTGGGTGAACTTCACTGGCTGGCTCAACAGGTATTTGTGGGACTTTGCAGAGGGACTAAGAGAAAACTAAGTGCAGATGCATTTACAATATGCCTTAATCAAGGACAGGCAGCAGAAGAGCTGGATAGCAGTTCAAGTTGCAATAGCATTCATAATAATGACTATAATGATATCAGCTGCCCTTTAAGGTTTTAGCTTATCAGTGCCTGCGTTCCAGGCAGGTGCAGTCAGAAAAAGTAGGGCATGCACCATTTTTTCTGACTGCACGTACTGGAACGCAGGGACTGATGAGCTAAAACCTTAAAGGCCAGCTGGTATCATTATAGTCAAATATTATGATTGCTACTGCAACTATGACTGCTACCCAGCTCTTTTTCTGCCTCTCCTTGCTTAAGGACAGGCAGCAGAAGAGCCGCGTTTCGGTTCGGCCAATCGCATTGTGGCTAGAGGGCATGGCTGTGGTGCCATTGATTTTAATGCGCCACCACGCCCCCTCCCGCCCCAAAACAAAGTGAGCTGGCCGAAATGCGATCCAGTGCGTTCCGGCCACAATCTGGTGTGAACTAGTCCTTAAGCATGAATACTGTTCAGCCCTGTTGTAACATATCAAGTATCTCTTTACAATCTTTTCCTGCATGTCAGCCATTATTGCTTTTACAGATTATGCCTGTGCCACTGTTCCTACTTTATAAAGTTTAAGAATAAAAAATATATATTCTTCTATACTCTTACAATAACTATTATTATTGTTATTTAGTATTAACTGGTTACACAGCTACACATCTTTATCTAAAAGTAGTTACTTCATTTTAACTTTTTTTTATTACTGAGTTTATTGTTATAATCTATGTACATTCTACAGTACATAAACAGACCTTTGAACAGAGTCTGAGGTACAGTTTTCACATCTGAACCAGATTGTCAGAACTAGGTAATTATGTAATTGTTTTATACAAGGAACAGAGGTTACCACTCATTTTACATACACAAAGTTCATGGAGCTGCTTGTTCAGTCTCCACCTTACCTAACTCTTTTTTTATCCAGAAAGATGCACCTTAGTAATGCACATACTGCACTGTTTAATCCTTGTCGTTTTCTAAATTTCATTTAAAGCTGACCTGGATTTATTTCTTAATAGCCACCAAGGATATACTGTAAATCCACTTTTTGTGCACAAAATGCCTTTGCAAACCCAGATAATGCCTTTGTAAAAGTGGCAGTGACATCACTGTGCTTTACATAGCCTGTGCAGGGAGCAGAGCTTTGGGAGGGATCCAGCAGGCTCCACCCACTACAGGCTGCCATCAGAATACTACAGAAGAGGCAGACACAAGACCAGTCACCTTGCACATGGTCTTGCACAAGACCAGTCACCTTGCACACCTTGCACATAAATAGACCCCATTTTGTGCTTTGCTCATTTCTTCCAGATCTGTGCAGTAAACCAGACACTTTCTCTCATGGAGAGAAAGCAGCGCAGACTGGTCTTTATTACCAGAAGCTCCTGTACAGAGGCAAAGTGTCTTGTTTACTGCACAGATCTGGAAGAAATGCGCAAAGCACAACAAGGGGTCTATCTATAGAAAAATTGCATAGCTTATTCATCCAGCAAAACTGCATGGACATTCATTCTGTGCAAGTTATCCGACTGTTGTGAGAATAGGGCAAAAATGTATGTTCTTGCCCTTCATCGAACGGTGGGAACGGGACCTTGGGGTTCAATTCTTCTCCGTTGAGCTATCTCGGATTCTCCAGTTATCTCTGAAGTCCTCTATCAGTAACAGGTACCAAGAGAGAGGTTATAAAATACTGACCAGGTGGTATAGAACCCCGCACCGAAGGCTTCACTGAATCTTCCCTAATGCTTCAGACTCCTGCTGGCGCTGTGGCTCCTCTCCGGCTGACATGCTCCATGTGTTTTGGTCCTGCCCACAGCAAGCAATTTTTGGTCTCAAATAAGAGACGTTTTACAACTCTTTACGGAACGTACACTTCCATTCGACCCTGCGTTCTTCCTGCTTCACCATAATGACCACTCCCTGACGGGCTATAAGCACTCTATCCTTATTCATTTGATGAATGCGGGCAAGGGCATGCATTCCTTTTTATGGAAACAGTCCGCTCTTCCTATCCATAGGCCAATGGGTACGACAAGTTAACGCCTGAAGAAGCGGTGTGACCATGAAACGCGTAGAGCAACAGATATGCACCCCCCCCCCATGGAAACCTGTATAACTAACATTGATATATAATAATAGTATCTGCATAACATAACATTTATAGGTGGATAATCAGGTGTAGCTATATGCTATATTGTGGGGGTGCAGGTCTATGTGAGGCATACAGCTCAGAGATTTATGAGTAAGATTGCACATGTTGATGCTTTTATCTTTATTATGTGATTTTAACAAAGATGTACACAAAATATTATTTTTAATAGAAATCTAAGTGGTCATAGTGGTGCCTAAAAAGTGCATTGTTTGCTGCTTTCCTTTATCCATATGATCGGAAGAGAAATTACAAGAGAGCCACATAACTTGGTGAGAACCTAAGACATGTGTTTTGGCGTGCTAGGTCACTAAAGCCTTTTATTACAAAAAGAAAGGACTGTTGTGTGCAAAGAGCAATCACAATCATTCAAATGGATCAAATTTTATTAGCATAGCTAAAAGCATAGGTATGCTTAAATTATATTGCTGGCACAACAGCAATGGTGTACAAAAATGAATGTATACAATGAAAACTGATATGCAGAATAAGGTATACAAATGGTTTACTGAGAAAAGAATAAGATTATCAATTTACACTCTTAGAATGGAATCTATTTAGCGATTTTAAACTATTAAGCAAACAAGTGCTTTGCACATGCAGTGCAAATAACAGGTTGACTAATAACTCCTTTCCGGCAGCACATAATCACCTGCCCTGCTTTTCTATCATCAGGTCTGAAGAAAATAACCAACATAGAGGCATGTGACAGCGCTGGTGTTTTATGATTGGCCCGATGCTATCACATGGGTGTAGCAAGGGTCTGCAGCCACTATAAGCTCCAACTGGAGGGGCAG